CAATCAATCAAGGTCAGTCGTTTTGAGCGAAAAAAAGGTTGCTTAAGAAAGAGCACGAGCAGCTCTATTAATTTGCAAAATGTGACTGCGTTAAAATGCTTAAATTATGTCTGTTTTAAGAAGACATCAACGAAAAAGAGGTCAGAATTTTGAGGTTTTTAATGTTATTTTTACTTCGAATTTTCTAGATCTCTAAAATAAATAACGCAATTAAACGGTGGTTGNGTCCATAAACACAAATCCTGCGCCGTGGGCACCCCTAAACAAAGGGACACGTTGTTCCAGTAGGATGTCCCGATAAGTTTGGCCGGTCGTGGTTCCGATTTGACCATGCAGATGTATTCAGGAGCCCTTTTATATTTCCACCTAAAACGAGCAATCCTGCACCACCAAATCGGTGTCGTTCAATCATGTTGTCTTGGTGGTGACGGGTATCTGGTGTTCTCCATATGAAAGTCCAAAGTGAATCAGACTGTCACAATAGCCCTCTGTGAACATGTATAGTTTGTTCACCAGGAGTTGGCACTTGGCACCACCACCTCGGACGCAGAGTTCATTTCAGCTCGGGTGAGTAAGAGGAAAAACATTTCCCCGCTTGAAATCGAGATAACCTCTAATGCGCGCAAAGCCACCACACGATTTTTTATAGGTAGTCTGATCAGACCACTATGAAGGCAAACCAGTTTACGAGAGAGCTTAGAGCCCTTTAATAGAAAATCTAGTGAAAATAAGAAAGTGGTAGCAAATATATGTCAAAAATTTTTTTAAATCTTTGAATATGATTAGTTTGTCTTATTTACTTGTCTACCACTACAGATTTCAATTCTCAAATATGTATGACAAATTCTTCTCAGTCACTCTTAAAATAGAATTTGGTTTCATGTGCTCAAACTGTCCACTTTTTAAATAGTCTGAGAAGACTACTTATAAGAAACCGTGTGGAGGCTTTCTGATGTAGAAGGTGATGGCCCAACACAAGCAGTTAATTCTTTTTCAGTCACTTACTTCGCTTTATTATCAGCTTTTATATCTTTCGTTATTCTAGCTAATATATGTTTAAAAACTTTTTCCCATCAAAATATCTCAAAAAGAACAAACTATTCAATAAAAAGAGAGAAATATCAACAAGTTTATGAAAATAAAATGCACATGTTCAAAATATGCACATGAAGATTGCGAAATAAATATTTTTGTCATACGATCGCCAAATAGCAGCCTCGTTCACATCCTTCTCCCCAAAATAGCGAAATAGTATCATCCGATACCACGTAATGAAGGCGAAGCCAAGTGCCAACTCTTGGTGAACGAACTATATCTATTGCATATTTTCTACTACAGGCTAATCAGTACCATCAGTGAGTTGCTCCGCGAGCTGAACACATACGACAGTTCTGCGAGTATATGGACTAATATTTCTCAAACGTCTATATACGGCTTTACTCTAAACTGTGGAACCCCTGTCTGCGGATAGCTGACGAGTCAGGTCGAATGCTGTGCTCTGTTTTCTTCCTTTGACAGCTAATGCCAAATACAGGTCATCATTTGGCGTCCTTACTCGAGAGCAACCAGTACTGTAACGACTAGTGACATTTCCATCATCTTGACGGAATCGTTACTCAAAGCATAGAGATGACCCTATGGGCAATACCAAGTCACTCAGATGCTTTCAGCTGGGTACGCCCACATTCTCTTCTCTGTGTCATAACTATTAGCTACGGCACTGAGAGATTTACAGAACACTTGCGAACAATTTAACTTTTGTCACCATTTCTTATTCCTCTCTTTCACTCTTGTGATTATGACGTTCAATCGACGTCATCCGGTGGCTTCCAGTAGTTTGTATATCACTCTTGAAGATGTGTATATGGTGAATTTCTTCTTTTAAAGTTCAATTTCTGCTTGATTCTGAATTATTCTTGTTGTTGTTGTTAATTTACGTCGCACTAGAGCTGCACAATGGGCTATTGGCGACGGTCTGGGAAACATCCCGGAGGATGATCCGAAGACATGCCATCACAATTTTGATCCTCTGCGGAAGGGATGGCACCCCCGCTTCGGTAGCCCGACGACCTGCGCGCGAAGTCGAGCACTTTACGGTAGCACAGTTTAACGAGGACCAATACCGCACACCCTCGGTCCCTACGCAGACTGATCCAAGTGGATCACCCACCCGCACACTGACCGCAGCCAGTGATGCTTGACTTCGGTGATCTGATGAGAACCGTGTCTTGACGATCAGTCCACTGCGGGACTTGAATTATTCTAAATTTATGAACATGCGCGAGTTGGTGTCTGAATGATTGAAAGAAGAAGGTTAAAATTTAAGTTTACATACATTGAACTTTGAAAAATCTATTCAAATATTGCTCCTTCTGTTCGTTGCAAACCGTAAAAAAAACAGCGAAAACTGGATTATTTTGTTCCCTTGACATCCTAATCTTGAAATTTCTTCCGCGGGTTACTTGTGTGCAGAGCTACTTGTGTGTGTAGTAAAGAATTGGTAAAAAAAAAATTACTTTTGACTTAGAAAATGAAAGTACGAGGGTTGTAAATTAAATAGTGGCAACTTAACCTTGAAACTCACAGAAGGGCGGGCATGCTCAAATAGGATATGGGAGCGGTGAGGTGGCGCTGTTGTCGATGTGTAGAGTGCAAAAAACAGTCGATTTGCTTAGAAGGGTAGTTGTTACGTGGCGTTAAAGTGAGGAGTTTCGTTTCCATCGCTCTAAAGCATGTTTTCAAAAGGTGATCAGCGGTCGTGGCTTAAAATCGAGGTTGTCCGTGGCAAAAATGCAACAGAATGCTATCGTGGATTAGTGGAAGCCTGTGGCGCAAATGCTTTACCCTATAGGACAGTAGCACGATGGGTTCAAGCATCTCTTCTTTTTTCGTCATTAAGCCTTTTGACAACATGCTTTAGAGCGATGGAACCGAAACTCCTCACCTTAACGCCACGCAACAACTACCCTTCTAAGCAAATCGACTGTTTTTTGCAATCTACGCATCGACAACAGCGCCACCTCACAGCACCCATACCCTATTTGCGCATGCCCGCCCTTCTGTGAGTTTCAAGGTTAAGTTGCCACTATTTAATTTACAACCCTCGTATTTAGAATTAATCGTTATATTTGATATTAAAATTTAAAATCTAATGCTAGGAAATCCCTCAAAAAATTAACAAAAATAAAAGGAGTATTATATTTGATCTCAAGATTTTAATACAGGTAATCCTCATTCAGTTTATCTAAATGACCGCTTGATATATTTAAAAGTTCTTAGTTTATTGATAATAATAGCATATTATTTTATGTAATATTCTTGTACAATGAAAATGAAAAAAGTGCGTCTTTGTAGATTAGTACAATAAGAAAAGTAAGTTAAACTAGTATACTTTTTCTTAGTTAAACTGGTATTTAATTAAACTGGTATTCCAGAAGAAAAAAAACCTAAAGCTGACAGTCTTAAAATTACAAATCGGAATGACGACAATTCATTCAAAGAGTTCTTTGAATGTTTCGGCAGGCTGTCGGAATTTAAAATTTTTAGAACAGTAACTTCATCATATTATGGTTTTCCTTAGGCTTGGTGTCATTGCTCCCTGTATTCTGCTTTCATTTGCAATCGATTCAGTACTTCAAAGTGTCCATTAATTCACCAAGCAGCAAATTCATCGGTGCTAGATGTGACAGTTATGAAGATTTTCTGTCGGGGGCATGTCACCGATGTTGCCGAGACAACTCAACAGAATGCGCTGTTGCAGGAATGGACGCAGAATACTATTTTCCCAGGGATCAACCCAGAGAGGAGAGAAAATACTATTTCAACACTGAAGACGTTTGTCCTTATAACGGTAAGCACTAAACACTTCCCCCTTTTTTATAAACCTAACATGAACAAAAAATATTATACAGGAAGATCCAATATCTCAGCTAATATTATATTAACTTTAATCTAGATCGTGTTTCGTATTCTCAACGATAGAGGCCAGTATTTGCAGAGATTGTTTCACCTTTGGTAGAAGATTCGCTCATATTGATTTCCATTTTTTTATTCTCTTTTGACTTACTTTCTAATAGAATTATTTGTTTTCGATGGCGAAAAATTCTTTAGCAAGAGGCAGCAGTCATTCTGCTTTGTGGTATATTATGTTAGCTAATTTGTTATCTGAAATTAAGGCAGGAAACACACTGAAACGACATGCGGTAACGATGCAACACATGCACGAAAGAAGAGCCTTTCACAATAGAACAGCCACACACAGAAGCAGACAATTTTTTCCATCATTTTGAAGAATGAAATTTTACCTGGCAAAATACAAAATTTGAGCGAAATGGGTCGAATAGCTCCTGCGAAATTAAATTACAAAAAGGTCAAATATTTAAAATGCGATTTCTCAGGAACTATTCGATCAATTTTGTTCAAATTTTGTATTTTGCCACATAGTATAAAAGATGGGCCGCTTGCGTGTACGCTAAGGCAGAAAGTGTTTCCATTTTCTCGAACTTTAAAAAAATGCGTATTTTCGCATACTCTTGCTCTCTACTTTCTGAGTTTCTTCAAAAAGGTGAATGGGGCCAAGATGGCCTGGTTGGTAGAGCGTTAGACTCGTGTTCACAAGGTCCTCCAAGTTCCTATAACGAGTCCATACCTCTGGGGGAACTGATCCAAGAGTTTCCTTGTCTTCTGGATTGGGTTCAAAATTACAAGGTTTCGGAGTTGAACATTGGTAGTCATAAATTCAATTTTGGGTCGGCTGTTTAACGACGGTTATAAAATAAAATTAAAAAAAGCTGATGAGCATGGCAATCAATTTTTATATTCCGAAGATTTCGATTACTTCTGATATCCGAGCCTCTACGATTACATTTTTTAAAAATTATAAAACATACATGTTAACTGCCAAACATTTGAGATCTAATTCTGCTTTCTTCTTTTTTTTTTAGAACATTATGACTTCAGCATTTTTAAAAACTGTGGATGCAACAAAGATTCAACTAAAACCGTGAAAAGAGTTTTGTGATAATTGTAGCATCTTACATTGCAACATCTTATTTTAAGGATTGCAACGAATATTTCGTTGAAGTTATCAGAAATATGCATAAAGAAAGACGGAACAATACTGTAATTAAACTATCTAGTAGTACCAGAGATTTTTAGTTAAATAACTGCTTACTTATAATTATTCAAATTTATTGATTTAATCCTTAAGGTTACTTTTTAAGCAGTGCATGTTTTTCCGTAAGGACCTCCTTAGAAGTATATTTTAGAATCCTCGTAAAAAAAACTTTCAAAGCTTCTCATTAGAAGTTTCAAATTTTTGTTATAATGTAAGTAAAATAATAAAATTATTTAGTTTTACATTTATTATCTTATTTCTAATGCTACTTTGCAAGAAATCAAGGTTTAACATAATTATAAACAATTTTCAAATTTAATTACAGTTTAATTTATTATTTTTAGAGTTTTTTTTATCAAGTAAATAGCACGACACTACGTTTTTCTTCTGCTTTGTTCCAAATTATTTTCTTTCTCATTTAATCTCTATTTAATATGGCTTTACGTTTTTTTTTAGAATAAGAATACACATTGCTGGCTTCGAAAGGCTAAACATGTCTTAACAGTAACGAGTTACTACAGCAATATCACAGCAGTTATGAAAATAGCATATTATTCACAAAGAAAGCATTATTTCAAATGATGACGTAACTAAATAATTTTAAACTTTTTCATTCGATTTGATTTAAAATTCAACAATATATTATTAATATAGTTTTCGTTACACTTTGGATGTATATGATTTTTATTAATTAAATAATAATAAGAGTAATTCTAAAGTAAATTTTCACTCGATGTGTCCCTTTTATTTAAAAAAAAAGTTAAAAATAATGCATGCATGAAATGAAATTTACAATTACAACTCCAATTCAAAATATTAGA